CATAATAACGGATATTTATAGTCCCTATCTCATAGAGTTATTCTAATGATGAAATAAAAACAGTTTCGATGGTTTCTACTTCATAGTAAGTGCTTTAAAATGCTATTAAAAAAAAAAAAAACAAAAAAAAAAAAAAGAATCATCGATGACCTGGAAGGAGAAGCAATTATGAGGGTTCATACACATTTTGGTACTAGTAGTAGTATTTCATTCACTATCATCTGCTGATTGCTATGCACCAGAGATCTCACTCAAGACCCCTAGAGACCCCTAGAGATGAGGGTACTCTCAATATCCCTTGTTTTAGAGAAGAACACTGAGCATCAAAGAGATTGGGTTTCATGCCCAAGGTCAAATGAGAGATTTTTTTTTTAATTCTCACTCAAGGACACTTTTGCATTTATCTTCAGATAGAGCTGGAAGGAGAGAGAGAGAAACATCAATGTGAGAGGGGCACGTTGAGTGGCTGCCACCCACACGACCCCAACCAGGGCCGGGAACAAACTGCAACCGAGGTACGTGCCCTTAGCGGGAACCGAACCTGGACTCTCCGGTCTGCGGGCAGACGCTCTAACCGCTGAGCCAAACCGGCCAGGGCGAAAATGAGAGATTTTGATACCTTTCCTTGGGAAGTCATATCCAAGGATCCATATTCCAGTATGTGTGAGATGCACGGTCCCCTGTGGCCAAAGTCCAGCAAAAACAAAATCAAAGGTATCTGGTTGGACGATGCAGGATCAACTCATCCTTCATTTTCATTTCATATCCAGAGCCTCTCAGTCACCCACCTCCTCTACCAGTCCAAGCCCTGTGGGTTTTGCTGGTTTGCCCTGCAGTGAGTGCCACATTGGCCTGCAGTTGAGAAAACAAGGCACTAGGGCTCAGTGGCTAAACGTGAATCTCAGCTCTGGCACTCACTGGTAATGTGACCAGGAGCCCCACATGTTTTTAGTCCCAGTCCTCATATCATAAGCAGGTCCTTTGGTCTAAGAAAGAGACCACACACCTTTTTTTTTTTTTTTTTTTTAATCCTCACCTGAGGACATTTTTCCATTTTTTGTTGAGGTAGAGTGGGAGGGAGAGAGAGGAACAGAGAGAGAGAGAAACATCGATGTGAAAGGAACACATCGAGTGGCTGCCACCCACACAACCGACCAGGGCTGGAGACAAACTGCAACCAAGGTACATGCCCTTAGCGGGAACCGAACCCGGGTCTCTCAGGACCGCAGACCGACGCTCTAACCGCTGAACCAAACCGGCCAGGGCAAGACCACACACCTTTTGTCATTCTTTAGAGATATATGTATTTAACCACATAACATTCCTTTATTAGCATGCTCTTTTATTTTAAAGGTGCTGTTAAAATGTGTCAGATTGTGCTTGTGGGCATTTATTTAAAATGTAATGCTCAAGGAATTTTAGAACACTCATTTAGTCCTCCCATAGAAATGGCAGTTACAGTTGGAAATGAGTCCAGTTGAAGCATTGGGGACCTAAAGTTGAGTCTGGCTGTATTCTGTATTAACCTTATCCCTGGCCGCACAGAGTTGAAAAAGTTAATGAATGTCTGCAAAATGAATAAAAACCCCAGGTAGCATGCGCTCAGTGCCAAATGAATCGTGTAGTCATTCTCCAAACCTTTGCTGAGTGCCTACACTGTGCTACACAGTGGGGGTATGACAGAGAACAGGACACACTCCTAGCCAGGAGCACAGCGGATGTGATCACAGAAAGCCGGGTCCCCAAGGCCAGGCACTCAGAGGAGACTGTTCTTTCCCCAACCTACAGTGAGCACCTGTGGTGCGCTGGGTCGCTTTCCTGCAACCTTTCACCCCACCCGGACGTGCTGTGGAGGGGTGGCAGAGCTAGGGGCCACCAGCTGCCCTAGAGCCCTTCCTTCTGGAGCTTGGGACAGCCAGCTGTAAGAAGTAAGGTTGCAGATGAGGTTTTGTCATTGGCTCTGACAGAGGAAGAAACAGGCTCAGCACAGGGTCTGGATGGGATAAAGAAAAACGCCCCAGGCTTTTGAGGTTCGTCTTCCTAAGAAGATGCCATCCCTCCTTGTGGGATAATTGGTCAGGATAAATGTAATAGACGTTCTACGACGTGCAGATACTTGGCAGAGGCAAAGTTGCAAAGTAAGCACTCTTTGGTCTCAGAGGCCTTATGAAATGATAGGCATGGGCGTGAGAACTAGGTGAAACCTTAGCTTGACCGCAGTCTGGTAACAGTTCAAATGACAGAGGTTGTCCACGGATGGCCATGTGGGCGAGTCAGGCGATTGTGGCTGCTTCGAAAGGAGGTTATGCTTGTTTAAAAAATAATTTTTCTTTATTGATTTTAGAGGGAGAGGAAGGGAGAGGGAGAGAGAGATAGAAACATTGATGAGAGAGAACATCAGCTGCCTCCTGCATGCCCCCACTGGGGATCGGGCCCACAACCTGGGCATGTGCCCTGACCAGGAATTGAACCGGTGACCTCTTGGTGCATGGGTTGATACTCAACTCCTGAGCCACACTGGCTGGGCAGGAGGTTATGCTTTTTATAGTGAAGTTTTCATAGAATTCTTGGTAGAGGAAGGGGAGATTTGAGTTGGGACTAAAGAGTATAGACAATATGAATAAACAAAATTAACTGCCCTTGCCTTAGTGAAACATAATTGTTCCTTTTAATTAAACTTTTCAAAAGTAGGGTTCAAACAGCTCAGAAGGAAGCATCGCCAAGGATGTCAAAGGGAAGTCCCTGCTAACTGCAGTAGTGACAGGTGGGTTGTTCAGTAGCAGATTGGAGTTGGTACTGAGAGGTGGCTGCGGGCATGCTCTTGGGTGTCAGACAGCTTAGGGCCACATCCCAGTGTCACTCACTGTCCTGTGACTTCTGCAGGCCATTGTTATCACTAGGCCACCTCTACAGTGCCTTCGGCCCCGGTGTGACTCAAAGGATTGCGGAAGTGTAGTCGAAGGGGAATATATACTCTGCAAACCCGTGTTTAATACTCGTTTAACAAATGCTGCATTATAATGTATAATCCAGCCCACTCTTCAGTAATTGCATTAGGGCTCTTCAAAGAAACGGAGCCAATAAGATCTCTGTGTAGGAAGAGATTTTTGATAGGAAATTGTCCCACACAATATCGAGGCTGAGAAGTCCCACAATCTGCCCTCTATAAGATAGAGATCTAGAAAGGCCGGTGGTGCGGTGAAGTCTGAGTCCAAATGCCTGAGACCCAGGGAGGCCAGTGATGTAGATTCCAGCCCAGGTCTGATGCCTGAGCACCAACAGCAGCAAGAGCAGAAAATTGATGTCCCAGCTCAAGTAGTCAGGCAGCAAGGGCTGAACTCTTCCTCCAGCCTTTTCTTTGTTCTGTTCAATCCCACCACAGACAGGATCATGCCACTCTCATTGGATGGGGAGCTGCTTTCCTGGGTCCTCCAATTCAAATGCTAATCTCATCTGGAGACCGGAAATAATGGTTAGCCCAATATCTGGCTCCCTGTGATCCAGTCAAGTAGGCATATAAGATTAGCTATGACAGTTATAAAGAATACAATAAAGGTTAAATCACAAGAGCAAAATGAACAATATATGCATACTAAAACAATGAACATTCTTAGGAAATTTGCATTAAAATGTTTGCATTTTAATGGGGCTATGGGTGCATTCTAATATATTTGAAATAATGTGGTTTAGGGTCTTGAAAAGTAAAAGTAAAGACTGCAAATGTCCCCACACTACATGTCTGTATGCCTACTGCATCTGTCACTTTTATGGGGCAATTGCAAGGAATAAATGAGCTACTATATGTGAAATATATATTATGCGGTCTCGCATGTAGTAGTCATGCAAAATGTTCGCTTAGAATAATAGTTATTGTTCACCAGGATATTCTTTTAATGACTATATATAATGTTAAGGCAAGGTATTATTTTCTGATTTTACTTGCAATAGTTTTTGGTTCATATCAGAAAAATTAAGTATTTCTGTAGTTGCTGCAAAAGTAAATAAACCTGGACTCATCAGTGTGCCAGGATAAATCTGGATTTGGAATAACCAGTGGTTAATGGAGGATTTTTAGATATTATAGCAATTGCAAGAGGATTCTAGAAATCCACCTATGAATGCAAGATATTATTCTGCCCCTTCTTCCAGCATCGCAGAGCTAGACCAAATGTATAAAAATAAACACTTTTCCTTCAAAGTACAGGATATTGCCTAGCTGAGTTTAATTGAAAAACTAATATCCAGTGCAATTGTCTGTGATAAACTGAGGCTTAAATAATTTGAAAACGCTTTGGGAGCAGACAAATCAGATAATCACAATCCTTATGGCTAGGAAGGTTCAGCTGGCATTGACAAGCTGTGAAGATAAAAGCTTATAGCAAAGGCAACAGCTAAATGTCTAGACTGGGTTGGGGATCAGTGTCAATACTCAAAGTGCAAAAAGCACTGAACTTCAAATGATCTCTGAGTGTGGTGTTTAACTTTTCAAGGTAACAGTGTATAGAACTTTGTTTACTGAAAAACTCCTGCTGAATTGTCATTAGGCAAACCCCTTGCAGCCTTGCAGTGTCTCCTAGCATCTAGCATTTCTGCTACTGCTTGGACTTTGTGTTCCGTGATTTGTGCCCTGACTGCAATCAGAGGGCTTCAGCGGCGGTTTTCCCAAACATTTCCACTCGGGTGATTATGAATAGTTTATGAGCGACCAGAGTCAGATCGTGCCATTTCTAGGCATCTTTTTTTTTTCAGCTGACTTGGAATTTGCCTCGTGGCCTCACTCGGATCTCAGCAGGGACACTGTCAAAAGAAATTCCTTGTTTTTTCAAAGGCTGTTTGCATGCATTGGTTCAACGCTCTCCTATTATGGAACCCTCAAGCCAGTGGCAAGAAATATGTGTGTACTGAGTTGTGTAAAGGATTCGCTGCATTTAGCTGAGTGTGCCCCCAGGTGACACATCCAACAGTCTCCAACCTCTGTTTGCTTTCTTCTTTGTTCACAGGAGCGGAGGGCACAGTGTTCCCTAAATCTATAGAGACACCGAATGTCAGGGCAGACCCCTTCAAGGAACTAAGGTAAACTCCCGACGTGGCGTTATCCTATTCGTGTGCGTCCCCGTTTCTGTGCACCAGGCTGGTGGTCCACTGCATCCGTGTGATGGGCAGTGTCTCAACAGGAATATGTAAACTGGCAGTGGTTAGAAAGGATATGACAATAAGCGGCAACCAGGAGAACATTGTCTCTGAGGACCTGAAATGGAGAGTTTGGAGAAAGAGGTTGACCACCTTGTAATTGTGATATTTAGGATTTATGTTGTTGTGGTGTGTTTCTTGCTGTGTTTTGTGGTACCAAAAAGCTACCCAGTTAGAGAACTAGTCAGTAATGGGTGCTGATCAGCCCAGCGATGGGTGCTGTCTAAAAGAAGCTGAACTCGGAATATAATACAGACTTCTTTCTAGGGAATAAACTCTCCGTTACATGGAAGACTTGAGAAATGTAAGAGTTAATGGATTTTGGCTAACTTTGCTTTAAACACAAGACTAAATGTACTGTAGTTAAAAACAAACCCAGCCCACACCAAACACAAAGACAACCCTCCAAGGATCAACCCACTTTAGAGATCATACCCTGAAGGACATAGAACAGAGTATATGCTCATATAGTGCTGTAGACACTCTTCTACATGCTAGTCCTTGGCAACCTGTGGGAAACCCTGGAACCTACCTTAAATTAAACCTCCACAACAACAAGTAAACCTTCTAAGTCAGTGCAACAAAATAAAGACTTCGGGTAGCTGCTGCATTTTCATTGCTTATTCTAAAATTATAGGCATATTCCACAGGGGCTAGAAATAACGTTTTCTGATAGGCAGCCTAAAAAGATTTTAATATGTTAATTTTAAAAGTGGTCTTTTGTTTGCACCTGTTCAAATTGCGGTGATGCTCGATAACCTGAACTGAGCCAGGAGACTAGAATGTGATCATTTAACCCTTTCATTCTGGAATTTTTTCTTCATGCACTTGGTGGGAGAATCTCTGGCCAATTGAAAGGATAATGAAATGTGGTTGATTGATTAGTCTAGATCAGTGTATCAGTGTTGGTTTCACATTTGTCATTGAATGGTGCCACATTGTAATCTGTGCTATTGATTAGAATTGACCTCAGCTATTGATAACAGGTAATGAACTTGGTGACTGAGCCTTCTGGCCTCTGGCTTCACAGTTGGATCAGCACATCCATGCTGGTGTGTCTTCTGGGCTCAGGAAAGTAGAGTCATCTAAGAGAGGTCCCTGGAATTATACTAGCAGGTGGTGCTGAGTGGTCATGCCTCAGAGGCAGCAGGATGGAGTGGAAAGAGCACTGAGCTGGGAGTCGGTGACCTACAGCAAACCCACCGTGTGACCTTGAGCTAATCCTAGAGCCCTGCTATCTGTAAAAAGCCAGGTCACTTCTAGCTCCAAACAGCTAATCCCTTTATAGTATTTTACTTTTTTTTAAAAAAGTATATGTTTTTATTGATTTTAGAGAAAGGAACGGTAAGGGGAAGAGAGAGAGAGAAACATTGATGTGAGAGAGAAACATTGATCAGCTGCCTTCTGTAGGCCCCCTACTGAGAATAGAGCCTGCAACCCGGGCCTGTGCCCTGACCTGGGATCAAACCAGTGACCTCTTGGTGCACAGGATGATGCTCAAGTAATTGAGCCACACTGGCCTGGGCTATAGTATTTTACTTTTCATTTAAAAATTAACTTAGATTTAAGGAAGAGTTGCAAAATTTGTACCGATTATTCCCATGCACTTTTCAGCTGCTATTCTCCAATATTAACATCATATATATCTAGGATATATTGATCAAAACTAAGTAATAACACTGTAGTCCTATAAAATTTATTTTACATGGATTTGTTTAAAAGGATGCAATCACCTGAATGTCTTACAGATTTAAAAATATACAAAAAGGATATTGCCCTGTCAAGGTGGTTCAGTTGGTTGGAGCATCATCCTGTACACCAAAAGGTTCAATTCCCACTCAGGGCATATACCTAGGTTTTAGGTTCCATCGCTGGTCAGGGCGCATACAGAAGGCAGCTGATCAATGTTTCTCACATGGATGTTTCTCTCTCTTCCTTTCTCTCTCTAACAATTAATAAAAATATATCCTCAGTCGAGGATTTTTTTGTTTAAGGAGATTAGCCCTGGCTGGTTTGGCTCAGTGGTTAGAGTGTTGGCCCTCAGACCCAGGGTCTCAGGTTTGATTCTTGGTCAAAGGTATGTACCTGGGTTGCAGGTTTGATCCTAGACACTGGTTGGGGTCATGTGGGAGGCAACCAATCCATGCATCTCTCTCACATGATGTTCCTCCCTTCCTCCCTCCCTCCCTTCCTTCCACTCTATCTAAAAATCAATGGAAAAATATCCTGGGGTGAGGATTAACAAAACAAAAAAGGGAGAGTGACAGAAAAGTCATTTGCTGAGATATGAATTAATGGGTCTTTAAAGCCCCCGATGCAGTTAAGTTGGAATGTTTTTAATGAAGGTTTTTAAAAATAATATTTTATACCCAGATTTTCTTGGTTTTACTTATTAATGGAAAATAAATTGAGTTAAAAGACCACAGCTTATTTATAATTGACTGTCTTCTAAAATAATCAAGCAAAACTTAAGTATCCAACGTGCCTCCCACTTACTGCAATTAATCAAAAGTGAGAAAATAGCATCTGTTTTAGAGGCCTTCTCTGTTGGGGTAACTCTTGTTTCCTCAAACCCCTATCTTGGCTGCTAAAGGGGTTTTATTTGTTCTTTTATTTTTGATGTTGTGGTTTGTTTGTTAATGAAAAGCAGATTTTAAGCCTCTGGCATTTCTTCTTAAAATATCTCAACTCTCAGGGAACAGACTGGGAGCTTCCTTTCTGCTAAAGTTTTGGTTTGCTGATTTTCTTTTCAGAGTTACTATAGTTACCGTATTTGCAGTGTTGGCTTAAGATGTTTGTAAATAATCCAGGGTTGAGCTGAAAAATCACAAAAGAGGGTTGTTTCACTTCAGGCAGATACTGAGTGTTAGCAAGGTCGGCGCCCAGCCCCCACGTGGGACAGCGTTTGCTGACCGTTCTCCAAGGCTTTTTATTCTGAAGTGAGGACGCGCCACCCTAGATTCAAGACTATATTTAAACATACACCAGGCTCTATACCTATCCCTTTAAATTTAAGAAACCAAACAAAAACAAGACTCCCTTTGAATGGAAACTGGTTTTAGTAAATGCATGGTTTGGGAATGTGAACATCTTAAGTGTTCTTTTGTTCACTGCTTCTCTTCCTGGAGTCTGCACAGACATGTGGAAAGCCCCCTGGTCTCAGGCTGTGCGTGCCCGAGACAGGAAGTGGGCCGTCCAGTCTGCCTTTGCATTTTCTGTAAGATCGCGGGCTACTTCTGAATGTGGACCTTGTCCTGAGGATTCTTTCCAACTATAAAGTTTCCTTGTAGGAATCTGATCCTATAGGAACAGGGAGTAGATGGTGAAATCCCACTGCCCAGTCACATGCGAGGGCAAAGGTACAGAAAGAGAGAAGGTTCTAGGGACCGCTGTACACACAGAGCCAAGTCTGTTCCGCTGAATAACTAGAAGCTGGGGAGGAAGCAGCGGGGCAAGAAGCCAGCGGGTCTTCATAAAGGAATTCTTCCTCCGCTGATGTGCGCGTGGGCTGTGCACATTACCCCAGGGCAGCGACCTGATTTTCCGTCTTCTGTCAGAGCACAGACTGTGTACCAAGTACTCCTGATGTGTATTAGGAGTCAAGGCGTGTGCTCAACACTGATGTAGAGAAAAATGAGCACTCAAGCCATGTGTGGTCAAGGAGAGTAAGACAGGGTGAGGCTCCGGAATGCGAGGCAATACGATGAGTGTCCGGACGGGTGTGTGAACAAGTCGGCGGAAACGGAGAACAAAATCTGCCCAAGAGACGTAGGGACGGCTGGCCAAAGGAAGGGCCGTTTCAGCTGCAAGAAGAAACAAAACACAAAACACGAGAAGCAGGCTTCAGAATTCCTCAAACATGGTTCCCTGCAGTCATCTCATACAGGGGCTAATAGCCCCAAATAGTTCTGTACCGGCCAAGAATGTGACTGTGTTATTTACAAACACGAGAGCTTGTCATTTCCTTATAACAGGGTTCAATTAATGAGAGGCTTAGTAATACTCCTTCCCTCGCATGTCATTCCAAAAGTCACAGTACCCAAAATAGGGGATCAACGGTCTGATCAAAATAAACATCACACACACACACACACACACACACACACAGACATAGACAGACAAAAGGGCACACTCAGGAGAGAGAGAGAGATGGGGGAGAAAAGCTGTCTATTGAGCTTCTTATGTAGAAATCGCGGAAGGAATCTACATTCTCTCCCTTTAATGTTTTAATAGACATGTCTGTAATTTTCTTTACCTCCTCTTTCCCTCCCTTCCACCCACTACACTTAGACTAAGTATCTAGTTTTGTTTTGCATGTATAGGATTCCAAATTATTAGGTCATATGGTGTGAATATTGAAGTGATTCAAAGGAGAAGTGAAAATATTCAGTGGGCCGCATGAGCGCATCGGAATCAGCACAGAGAAGAATCGTGATTGACGCCCATGTCGGTCCAGGGGCTGTGCTCTGAAGGTGTCCTGCGCTGGGTTTGGACTTGGCCCCCGTGCGTATCTGCTTTATGAACTTGGGCAAGTCTCTGAAGCTCTCCTCGCCCCAGCGTCTAAAACATGGAAACAGCCCATGAACATTCATCCAACAAGTGTTCACTCTTGGGAGGAGGGCCAAGCAGCTGTTCGTGGGGACTCAAAAACTCAGGAGTTTCCAGAGGTTGGTTGGTTGGTTTGTTTGTTTCCTTCCTTCAACCCATAAAATGTTCTCATCAAATAATGGAAACCAACAATTGTTTTTCAACTAAGGACCAAAAAAAAAACCTGTGTACTTTCATCTATAAACAGCACTGTGTATAAACAAAAATATATGTCAACTGACAGAGTAGAGAAGACGTAACCTTAGATAAACACAGCCCATAAACTGAACACAGCC